GCAAACCGAGCTCGTAGCTTTATTGCTCTGGCTCCGCGGGCACCACATGCCAAGCCAATGCCCGCGTTCCCACCACCGGCGGAATCCCGTGTGTTGGCTTCGTTGGGCGTCTCGTGTGAACGCGCCAGAGTTGAATCCCGTCCAAGTGGGAATCGTGGGTGGCGATAATGATGATGCAGGAGGGCCCGGTGGGTGGTGAGTGGGAAATGTCTTCATCCAAGGGTCCGAACGGGGTGGGGGGGTGGGCGAGACGAATGCAAACTCGGACGCGGGTGGGTTAGGAGAAGGACGTGGAAACGGCCTTACCGAGCTCCGTGCAATCCTTCCGGGCTGAGCTCCAGCCAAGGAGGGCAGGAGGGCCCCTGCAGGAAAAGCGCTGGGACACCGGGCAGGGAAGCTGAATTCAACAAAGGAAAGGCAACTTTTGCCCCGGGCAGGACCAGGGATGGGTGATCCCGTCGTGAGGATTCGTACAAAGGGCGTCCCTGGGAGAGGAAAGGGGTGTCTCCCTTCCCACCCCCCGGAAATCGCCTTCTCCAGAAACACGGTGGCATGCCAGGACATGGGCATGGGCTCGGGGCCGCAAGGCTTCCTGGGAATTGTAGTTCTGGTCCGCACGACCCTCCCCCCGGCCCCCAACTTCCTAAAGGAAGAGAACCTCTGCGTTGGGGAAAATCTCTGGTCCGTCTCCAAAGGGCAGGAATAGAGGATACGATGAAGGCGGTCCAGTTCATTAGCCTTGGAATCGCGCGTCCAGTTTTGCGCACCGCGATGTGGGGAAAAAAAAAAAGAGGTTGAAATTCTAAAGAAAGAGTGCAGAGAAGAGCCACCAAGAGGATTAGGGGATAAAAACATACGAAGAACGGTTGCAGCAACTGGGTATGTCTAGTCTAATGAAAAGAAGGACTAGGGGAGACATGATAGCGGTCTTCCAAGATATCAAGGGTTGCTCCAAAGAAGAGGGAGCCAAGCTATTCTCCAAAGCCCCTGAAGGCAGGACAAGAATCCACGGGTGGAAACTAACCAAGGAGAGAAGCAACTTAGAACTAAGGAGAAATTTTCTGACAGTTAGTGCAATTAATCAGCTTGCCTCCAGAAATTGTGAATGCTCCAACACTGGAGATTTTCAAGAAGAGATTGGACAACCAATCAAAAATGGTGTAGGTTCTCGAAATACAAAATATCTTATATTGCATGTAGTAAGAGCAGCTAGAATTTCCTACACACAGTACTGGAAGAAAAACGCCATACCTCCCGAAGGTTTAATAATTAAAAAAAACCTTCAAGTATGTGGAAATGGATAAATTAACTATGGAACTAAAAGGGAAGGCTGACATGGAATACAAAGCGATATGGGAAACCTGGATATATCTGGACAATAGACATAAGAATAGAAAATGTAAATAAATGTATATTGAAAGGTATATAATATTTCTCCCGTAATCACTGATTGAAGTATGACGCCTTTATATCTTTCCCCTAAATAACACTTAAAATAATATATAATTTTCATTCTGATTCTGCTTAGTACACTCTAAAACTATATACTATATATTTTTTTAAAAAAGGAATAATAAAATTACAATATAGTTAAAACAATAATCCATAACAAATTAAACTCTTATCATTAAATCTTAAACATTTTACACGTTCCTTTTAATATTTTATCCCATTTTGTAATCGTATAATGTTCCAGTTTTCTGACATTATTTCAAATACAAATACCACAATGCAATCTTATGTACTTTTGCAGAATCTCTTTTTAGATTATATTTTTACCCATTATCTCTGAATGAATCTTGTTTCTTTACATCTTGTTTCAAACCTTTGTAACTTTTCTTCCCTTTTCCCCTTTCGTTCTTTTCTAATCTAATCTAATCTTTTTTACCCCCTTGTTTAATCTCCACCCTCTTAATCTCCACCCTCTTCTGAATTCCTCTTTTCTGTTGCTTTCTGACATTGTATTGATTTTTCATCCTATTTTTCCATTTTTGGGTCAATGAGAAAAGATAATAGATAATTGAAACCGAACAGACAAAAGATATAAGTATAATGATTTAATCGAAATGAAATAAATAAAATAGAATTAAGAGAATGAAAAGAGGGGAGAAGCTATATAGAAAATGTAGAATGAATAAGATATGAAATGGTATATAAAGTGAGCATGAATTTGAATTTATGTCTGCACAAAAAGATGTAACCCGGGACTAAGCCGCTTTCCAAAAAGAAGTTTTATGTTTTTATGTTTTGTATGTGTATGTTTGTTTATTGAAAATTAATAAAATTCTTATCAAAAAGGAAGAAAGGTATATAATAAATGCGTATAATAGTTATAGGGGTGTGGAAGTAGTGTGTATTGAAAGTTTGGGTAGGATGTATAAATGTATATATATTGTCACAGTATTATTGTTCAATTAGTAATGGTATTGTGTATAAACGGAAAAACCCAGTACAGTGTTGGTGGGAAAAATGATGTAGGTTCTCTTACTTGAGCAGGACCAGGTTCCTTCCAACTCTGTTGTTCTGTTAAGAAAAGGGGATGAAAGCTTTCTAGCATTCAATTCAGGGCACTAGTCCTCAAGAGTCACCAGGTTACAGCCAAACATCAGCATGGTGTGTTTGGCACCCGCAGACCTCAAAAACCTGGTTAAGGCCATGTCTGAGTTGCAGGATAGTCTGAGATCTGAGGCCGCTTCAGCCATGGAGGCTAACTAGGTCGCTTCAAATTAGGTCCTCTTAGACAAGCCTACCTCACAGGGGTGTTCAGAAGATAACCGACATCAAGCCAGCTTTGCCCCGTGTTGCTTCTCCCCAGCCAATAAACAAACCTCCACAAAGTTAATTTAAATTGGGAATTGGTGGCGTTAAACAAGACAGAAGACTTTATAGAATGATGTAGTCCTCAATTTATAACGGTTCGCTTTGTGACTGTTCGAAATTACAACAGCACTGAACAAAAGTGATTTACAACTGTTTTTCATGTGACTTGTTGAAAAATCCTCATAGTCTTGGGATCAAAACTCAGACACTTGTCAACTGATTCATACTTATGACGGTTGCAGGATAACCTGGGGTCACAGGATCCCTTTTCGCAGCCTTCTGACAAGCCAACTCAATGGGGAAGCCAGATTCACTTAACAACGGTGTGACTAACTTGATAACCGCAGTGATCCTCTTAACAACGGTGGAGGGAAAGGTCATAAAAACGGGCATTACTCGTGTAAGAACTGTCTCGCTTAGCAACAGAAGCTTTGTGGTTGTAAGTTGAGGGACTACCTGTACAGAATATGAGAGTTTTGCAGGTGATATTCAAAACAATCTCTCCGATTCTTACTCACAGGATGCTTTTTAAAAAATTTAAAAGGGCCCTTTCAGTTCATCTCTTGATATCTCACTGGAAGGTTAAACAACGCTGCATGTCATTAAAGAAGGAGTTGAATTAAAATGCTTTCCTGGCATAAGGAGGGCGTGATTAATATGATTAAAACATTGATCCTAAACCGTGTGGCTTTGGGTATCAAATGCATTTGTGGGACATAACGTGGCCTTCAATCAGAATAGAGATGGAGGGAACCTCAAAGGTCTTCTAGTCCAACCCTCGATTCAAGCAGGAGAGCCTACCATTTCAGACAGGTGTCCCTTCTTAAAAACCTCCAGTGTTGGAGCACCTTCTGGTGTCAAGCAGTTCCACTGGTTAATTGTCTTCCTTGTCGGGAAGTTTCGCCTTCATTCCAGGTTCCGTTGCTTCTTGTCTTGCCTTCAGGGGCTTTGGAGAGGAGATTGATTCCCTCTTCCTGAGGAGCAGCCCTTCAAATATTGGTCTACCGCTATCATGTTCCACCTAAATCCTTCTTTCGCCCGTAACAGTCATACCCAGTTCCTGCAATAGTTCTTCGTATGTTTTAGCCTCCTGGCCTTTAATCTTTCAAGTTGCTCTTTAATCATCCTGCTTAATTGAAGTTACAAAAACCAAGACTTAAGTTTTTGAGGCTCCCTTTTGGTAGAGAAGATATAGAAGACTCCATCTCGCATAATTTTTATCCGTTGTTTGGTTAATGTATGTCTATGTTTATCGGAGAGTCCTTTCTTTTTATTTTCTGCGCAGTTTTGAAACTGCATTAAGGCTTGGTTGTTGATGTTTGTTTTTGCTTTTCATCTCTGAAAAGAGAGTTAGTAGAGCTTTCAGCCTCCATGAAGACCGGCTGTAACAATCGGAAAAACCTGGGAACAAAATTTTAAGACATGAAAGAGATTGTTAGGATGTGGCTTGGCAATGGAACAACAAACAGAATATTCGCTGCCTAATTTGGAGCGGACAATAAAGGCAGCCAGAGATTGTGAAAGGAGCACACAAGGCAGGCAGCGAAGCAGACACAACCTCAGCCTCATCACAATTGCCAGGCTATTTTTAAGGGGTGGAGGAGGATTGTCTCGGAGAAAGAAAGAAAGAAGGTGTTGTGCAGACGAACTGCTGTTTGTTTATTTTGTTTGGATTTTGGATCACCACAAAAGAAAGAAAATTAAAGGAAAAACAAAAAAAGGGAAGTTGGAAAATGAAGGAAAAATAGGAAAGAAGTTAAAGAAAAGAAGGGGAGAGAGGGAGAAGGAAGGGGGGAGGAAAGAGAAAGGAAAGGAAAAGAAGAAAAGGAAGAGGGAGGGAGGATAACAAGAAAAGAAAGGGGAAAGAAAGGAGAAAATTGAAAGGAAGAGAGTAGGAAGAAAAGTAAGGGAAGGGAAGGAAAAGAAAGGGAAGAAGAAAAGAAAAAGGAAGGGCATGGGAGAAAAACGAAAGAAAGGAAAAGGGGAGAAGAAGGGGAAGGAAAGGAGAAAATAGACAGGAAGAGAGTAGGAAGAAAGAAGGGAAAGGAAGGGAAGGAAAGAAAAGAGCTTTCTTTCTATCAAGCACCTCCCATCTTCACTCCTACTTTAACCCAAATGCATAAATTTAATTAAAGTCATAAATTTAATTTTTTTCTTCTTCCAACAAGAGGTCCATGCAGCAGGGGGTCTCCAACTTTAAGACTTGTAGACTTCAACTCCCAGAGTTCCTCAGCCAGCAAAGTTGCCAAGGTTGGAGACCCCTGCCATAAAGACAGTTCTTTGTCAAGGACAGCAATAGGGGATTTTCTCTCGTTAAGCAATGCAAAATGGAACGTCACAGGACCACATCACTTAGCGAAGGCCATGCTGGCTGCCCCCATTGCTGTTGTTAGGTGAGGATCGCGGGATCGTTACAGGGGAATCTCTTCACGGCTTCCTGCCGGCTTTCCATCCAAAGTCAGTGAGGAACCTTAAGTCCTGGATGGTTTGCAAAGCAGGCTAGGGTGAGTTAGGTTAGGGGTAAGCGGCTGCACAACTGGCCTATATATATATACTTCCCCAACAGTTGTAAATGTGATCACATTTATCAAGCACCCAAATCCTAACCACATGATTGCAGGGCGTTGTGATGGCTGGAACGCTGAGTATTTTATAAAGCCCTGGGGCAAGACAACACTTGGAATATTTGCATCCAGTTTTGGTCACCATGATGCAAAAAAGACTTTGGAAAGAGTGCAGAGAAGAGCAGCAAGGATGATTAGAGGTCCAAAGAATCATCCTTTTACTTTATATTCCTATAAAGAACGGTGGCAGGAATTGGGTATGTCTAGTCTAACAAAGAGAAGAACTGTTCTGACCCAAACCTGGTTCCAGTTAATTAGGTGTGATAAACACAAGCCTTGCCAAACTGTGCAAGACTTGCCCAAAAAATAACAGACAGGAAATAGTTTGCAAAATAAGAATCTTCAAATACAATTCAGGATACTGGAATGTCCACGAGGCTGGAGTTTCAAAATGTCTTTGCCTTCTGCAAAGTACATTCCTTTCACAGTTGGCTTTTATCTTCTTGAAGGAGGGGCCATTACCTTGCAGCCTTACTCTCGAGTCACCCATGCTGCTGCAGCTGCTCTTTTCTGCGAGCAATCCTTCGTGCACATACACTTGGCACAGGCTCCTCGGGAACCTCCTCATCACTGCTGCCAGCCCCCCACAACCTCTGAAGGCAGCAGTCCACTCCCTGATGGTCCTGGCCCCTCACCTGAGTCCTCGCTCTTCTCAGCCATCTCACCTGCTGCCGGCTAACCACAACAAGAACTTGAGGTGACATGATAGCAGTGTTTCAATATTTGAAGGGCTGCTCCAAAGAAGAGGGAGTCAAGCTATTCTTCAAAGCACCTGAAGGCTTGTTCAGCTCTGTGACATTGATTGGTCACTGATCGAGAACTGAGAACCTATAAATATAATGGGAATGAAAGAGGGAGACAGGCCTTGGACATGATAGAGGAGATACATCTCAGGTAGTCCTCGGCTTACAACCACTCATTTACTGACCGTTTGAAGTTACAACGGCACTGGAAAAAAAGCGATTTAGGGTTGTTTTCACACTTAAGACAGTTGTAGTATTCCCACGGTCACGTGTTCAAAATCTGGGTGCTTGACACCCAGTTCATCCTTATGATGGCTGCAATGTCCCGGTGATCTCCTTTTCTGCAACCTTTACTCACCGATGAACTGCAGAGATTCACTTAACAATGGTGGCATGATAGTTCATAAAATGGGGCAAAACTCAAGTGTCTTGTTTAGCAATGAAACATTTTGGTGCTCAGCTGCGCTCGTACGTTAAGAACTTCCCCACCCTTGGCCAACTCTGTCCATTAATGTTTGCCCTTCATTCTCAAGTCCTTCCCATTCCTCCCTGGTCTGCAGGCTCAAAATAATAATATGGGGCCCATGTTCAGTTTAATACGTGACATTCTACACGTCTGTGATCAATACCATGTATGTTATGGGAACAAAGAGCAGTCTTTTACATTTATTTAGTCAATATCTCGCTGCACCATCTTTCTAAGCAGGCTGTTTAGAGAATTGAGCCACGTAGTTTAGGCTACCTCAGTCGTAGTTGGGTCTCATTGAAATTAATTTACTTCTAGTTACATGATAATAAATTGCCAGTGGATTTTACTGGCACTTAATAGAAATTGTTCAGTCTGGATGCTTTCCACAATAAACAGCAATAACAAGGTTGAAATCTGGCACGGAATGAAAAATGCAGAGCTAGATGGCAGGAAACCTAAAACAATATAAAGAGAGTGGGTGGAATTAAATTTGCCTTTTGGACTTAATGAACCCACTGCCCCTCCTCAAAGCAGCTGAGATTTTATTCTCAGCTAATTGACAGGAAGCAAAATAGATTAATCTTAGTAAGAATCGGATTGTTGAAATGCAAACATATGGCAATCTTATTTTACCTCTCTCTGGATTAATGGTTTCCTTAAACTTTCTCTTTTTCAAACAGGTAACAGAATAACAGAGTTGGAAGGAACCTTAGAGGTCTTCTAGTCCAACCCCAGCTCAGGCAGGGGACCCTATTTCATTCCAGACAAATGGTTATCCAATCTCTTCTTAAAAACCTCCAGTGATGGAGCATCCACATCTTCTGGTGGCAAGCCATTCCACTGGTTAATTGTCCTCACAGTCAGGAAATTTCTCCTTAGTTCTATAAGTTGCTTTTCTCCTCGATTATTTCCATCCGTTGTTTCTGATCCTTTGAAAATAGGCTGACCCCCTTTCTTTGTGGGAGCCTCTCATGTTGAAATGCTGCTATCGTGTCACCTGCAAGAATATTCTTTGTGATTAGCAAATGGAATTAAGGGCAACTTTGCATGTTGTTCCATGTTCCTCTTGATATAATTTGGATTCATGCTATTGTTCAGTGTTTAGGGTGCATTATTTCCTAGCTCAAAGAAGATGCTTTTTGCCTCCATTTGATAATTTTTGGAGAATGAAGTTGACAGATGGTTCAATTCATCTGACTTTGAAACCATTGTGAAAGTTAAAAGTATTAAAGAAAGGAGAGGAAGGGGTACTGAATATCAAATGATATTCAATTGTTCAGCTAAAGACAATCAAACCGAATAAATTGCAGATACCAAGTTTTGTGATTTCCATTTATTTGGTTTGATTGGTTTTATTTTTGGCCTTTTAAAAAAAGACAAACAACAGTCCTCAATTGCAAGATTACGAAATGGAAAATTAGAGCAATTATCTATTAGAATCAGGTTTCTGTCTTTTTTTTTTAAAGGTTAGTCAGAAGGCTAAGTATAATTACAGATATTCTTTCAACGGGTGGGGAAAAGCTTATGATTTTAAAATGCTCCTGTCATTGTTTCACAGACTAAATGAGCTCTATTTTTTTTTTTAAAGCATGTTGCTCTGTTACAAAATATTTTATTGAAGCAAAATGTTCATTTGCTAATTTGAGCCAAAAAGGAAGCAGCCATCTACTATTTTTTTTAATGAAATGTTCATATACAGGTTATTGTCTGTTAAAGGAAAAGAAATCATTGATAATAAAGCCATCATTACTTTCTAAAGATTAGCGAAATGTTAAAAGAGGAGCGGATGAAAAAGTTACATTTTTAAGCCTTCCCCCATGTTGTATTAATGGATTTTAGCCACTAAAATCCTGATGCAGGCGGTCCTTGAATTACAACCACAATGGAGCCCAAAATTTTCATTGCTAAGTAAGACAGTTGTTAAGTTAATAACAGGGTCATTAAGGGAATCACATGACTACAACCGTCATAGATACACGCCAGTGAAAATAAAATGGTCCTAAGCCACTTTTTTCAGTGCCATTGTAATTTTGAATGGTCACTAAACAAATGATTGTAAGTCAAGGACTACCTGTGATTGTGAAAAGTAGGGTATGGAGAGAGATCAGCTTTGAAGACTGCATCCAGTTTTTACATCCACAATATGAAAAAGGATGTTGAGACTCTAGAAAGAGTGCAGAGAAGAGCAACAAAGAGGATTAGGGTACTGGAGGCTAAAACATATAAAGAATGTTGCAGGAACTGGGCATGTCTAGTTTAATGAAAAGAAGGACATGGGGAGATATGATAGCAGTGCTCCAATATCTCAGGGGCTGCCCCAAAGAAGAGGAAGTCAAGCTATTCTCCAAAGCACCTGAGAACGAGACAAGAAGCTATGGATGGAAACTAATCAAGGAGAGAAGCAACTTAGAACTAAGAGGAATTTCCTGACAGTTAAGAACAATTAATCAGAGGAACAACTTGCCTCCAGAAGTTGTGGGTGCTCCAACACTGGAAGTTTTTAAAAAGATGTTGGACAACCATTGCACAGACATAAAGCATTTTCTCAGTGGGCCACTAGGTGGCACAACGCTAACACCAAAAGACCCATCAGTAACAACATTTGCAAGGTTTATTTATTTATTTTTGTCAATTGCTTACAAGATAATAGGTATCAGTTAAAACATAGTTATGGATATATGAAATGGATACATAAAAGAAAAATAAAAAATATAAAAGAAACAATAGGACAGGGACGGTAGGCAGGTTGGTGCGCTTATGCACGCCCCCTACAGACCTCTTAGGAAAGGGGTGAGGTCAATAGTAGACAGTCCAAAGTTAAAGTTTTTGGGGTTTGGGGAAGAAACCACAGAGTCAGGTAGAGTATTCCAGACATTGACCACTCTGTGGCTGAAGTCGTATTTCCTGCAATCAAGTTTGGTGCGGTTAACCTTGAGTTTGTATCTATTGTTTGCTCTTGTATCTATTGTTTGCTCTTGTGTTGTTATGGTTGAAGTATTCATTGACAGGTAGGACATTGCAATGCATGATTTTATATACCATACTTAGATCAGACCGAAGACGGCGTAGTTCTAGCTTTTCTAGGTCTAGAATTTCGAGTCTGGTGGCATAAGGTATTCTGCAACGAGTAGAGGAGTGGAGAACTCTTCTTGTGAAATATTTCTGGACTTTTTCAACTGTGTTAATATCAGATACATAATGTGGGTTTCAGACTGATGAGCTGTATTCGAGTATTGGTCTAGCAAATGTTTTGTATGCTCTAATTAGTGTGATATTATCAGAGAAAAAGCTATGTAAGGTTAGGTTAACAACTCTTAATGCCTTTTTAGCTATGTAGTTACAGTGGGCTCTAGCACTTAGATCATTGGAGATGAGTACTCCAAGATCCTTGACAGAGTTTGGATCATCAACAAGGTCTTGACTATTCAGGCTGTATTTTATTTTCTGATTTTTTTTTTTGCCAATATGTAGGACAGAGCATTTATTTGTTGAGATTTGAAGTTGCCATTTGTTTGACCATTCTGATACATAGTCAAGGTCTTTTTGAAGGATAGCAGTATTGCCTGTGGTGTTGAATAGCTTTACATCATCAGCGAAGAGAACGCAGTTGCTCTTGATATGATCACAGAGGTCATTTATGTAGAGTATGAAGAGAGTTGGTCCTAGAACACTGCCTTGGGGGACACCACTGTTGACAGGTACAGAATTTGATAGGACGCTCCCAATTTTGACCATTTGTTGTCTGTTTGACAGGAATGCTTCTATCCAGTTATGCAGGTGTCCAGAGATACCATAATATTTTAGTTTTAGGAGTAGTTTGTTGTGTACCACTGAATCAAAGGCTTTACAGAAGTCTATGTAGATTGCGTCAGGTTCAACAGAAGATAATACCATGCTTGCATAGGAGGTCTCGGAAGACCAATTGCTTCTCTCTTGCTGAGCAGCAGAAATTTTGGGGTCAACTGTGGTCGTAACTCGAGGATCCCCTGCATTGGCCAAATTGTGTCAAAACTAAGAGAAACTCTTTAAAAGTAGTCCTTGACTTAGTTTGAGCTCCCCCCCTAAAAAAACCCTACTTGCCATTATCTAAATTCTGGTTTACCACCATTCTTCCACAGTCATTTGGCTACATTTGCATGCTTGACCATTGGCGCAAGTCACGTAACTGCGATTTATGTTTTTTGTTGGAAGCCCATCATGAACAATGCTTCATTTAATGACTGCTGGAAAAAAAAAAGGTTGTAAAATTGGGTCCAGTCAAATAATGGCCCATTTTATACAGCCATCTCAACTTATGACCATAATTGCGGGGCTCAATTACAGTCGTAACTCAAAGACAACCTATCCCATTAGCAGAGAAGATGGTTGCAGGTGGGGCTTCGAACTACACTGAGAGCATTTGCACCAAGACAAATTCCTTGAGTGTCCAATCACACTTGCCCAATAAAGAATTCTATTCTATTCTATTCTATTCTATTCTATTCTATTCTATTCTATTCTATTCTATTCTACTCTGTATTCTATTCTACTCTGTATTCTACTCTCTATTCTATTCAATTCTATATTCTATTCTCTATTCTATTCTACTCTCTATTCTATTCTACTCTCTATTCAATTCTCTATTCAATTAAATTCAATTCTAATTCTATTTCTTATTCTATTCTATATTGTATTCTATTTTATTCTATTCTCTATTCTATTCTACTCTCTGTTCTATTTTACTCCCTATTCTATTCAATTCTCTATTCTATGCTATTCTATTCTATTCTCTATTCTGTTCTAATTCTATTCTATTCTCTATTCTATTCTACTCTGCTATTCTATTCTATTCTATTCTATTCTATTCTATTCTATTCTATTCTATTCTATTCTATTCTATTCTATTCTATTCTATCCTATTCTAATTCTACTCTATTCCCTATTCTATTCTATTTCTTATTCTATTCTATTCTATTCTATTCTATTCTATTCTATTCTATTCTATTCTATTCTATTCTATTCTATTCTATTCTTTAAGCCTTCTCTGTATTTCTAAAAAAAAATCCTGTGAGAATCTAAGATAATCAAATTAAGGCATGGAATTAAAGGTGTGTTTCTCCTGTTTGTCAGGTGAGAAAGAGAAAGAGAATTTTGGCATTTCCCCTCCTTTCTGTTATTTAGTCTTCATTACAGCCGATGGCCTAGTAAAGAGAATCTGCTGGGAAACCCCAAATCCTGATTCACATCTCTCAGGATTAAAGTGTCAGTGATCGCTTAGATGAAACGTGTAAACCAAAAGGGAGGGCACCGTTGATGTTATTAGCTAATTAGTCTGTAATCTGCAGGGACGTGTGAGTTTATTACCATCTGCTAGCAAGGAGAGTAAACCAAATCCATGAATTTTATTACACCGATCAGCAGGCGCTGAGATTTTCTCTAGTAATATCAATCAGAATAGAGCTGAAGGGTCCTTGGAGGTCTTCTAGTCCAACCCACAGTGATGGAGCACCCACAACTTCTGAGCCACTTCTTTAATTCTTCTTACTGTTGGGAAATTTCTCCTTGATTCCAGGTTGCTTCTCTCCATCATTAAATGTTACAAATAAAAGATGTTGAGACTCTAGAAAGCCTGCAGGGAAGAGCAACCAGGATGATTAGGGGACTGGAGGCTAAAACATACGATGAATAGTTGCAGGAACTGGGCCCGGCTAGTCTGGTGAAGAGAAGGACCAGGGAGACATGATAGCGGTCTTCCATTAGTTGAGGGGCTGCCCCAGAGAGGAGGAAGGGGTCAAGCTATTTTCTAAAGCACCTGTAGGCCAGACAAGAAATAATGGATGGAAACTGAACAAGGAGAGATTCCACCTGGAAATAAGGAGGAATTTTCTGACAGGGAAAACCATCAACCAATGGAACAGAAGTTGCCCTCGGAAGTTGTGGGAGCTTCATCACTTGAGACCTTCAAGAAGAGATTGGACTGCCCTCTGTCAGAAATGGTGTAGGGTCTCCTGCTTGGGTGGAGGGGGTTGGACTAGATGACCTACAAGGTCCCTTCCAACTCTGTTATCTGTTAATCTTCATTCTACATTGCCTTCATTTGCTTTTAATGAACTTAATAAAGAACCAGATTTAATTGGTGCCCAACAACATCCAGATACACAACACTTTGTGATTCCTGATTGACAGAAGGATAGATATTCAGAACAACAGCGGTGCTAATAATTTGCAAAAAAAAAAAAAAAAGCCAAGTGAGGCAAAACTCACTTAACAACCATCTCACTCAGCAAACATAAATTTTGGGCTCAATTTTGGTCATAGGTCAAGGAACAACCGGTTCTCTGGCTGTGGCTAGGTGGGTGTGGCCATGTGACTGGATAAACATGGCTTCTTATTTTTTTGGCAAGACCCCTCCTCCATTTTTTGGGTCTCCTGGGCCTCGGGGAAGCCTCCCGGGTGAAACAGTAGGACAGCGAGGGGAATCCTGCCACAGCTGATCATAGGAACAGTTGATTGTCGGGAGGGGAAAAACATACATTGAGAGTGACTGGGCGGGGAAGAATGCAGTCAGCGATGTCAGGCGTGCGCACGATGTTGCGCATGCACAATAAAACTGACTGGGAGGGGAGGGAGAGGCAGAAAGGGGAGGGGCCAGCCAGGGGAACGATATGCCGGTTCTTTGAACTGCACAGAATCTTAACAACCAGTTCTATTGAACCGGTCCGAACCGGTAGAATCGCACCCCTGCCCCCGTTGTTAACTGAATTACTGCAATTGTTCAGCTAGTAACAGGGTTTTTAAGTGAGTTTTACCCCATTTTATAGCCTTTCTTGCCATAGTGGTTAAGGAAATTCTTGTAGTGGTCAATGGTTGTTGAATGAATCTCACTTGCCCGTTGACTTTGCTTGCCAGAAGTTTGCAAAAGGGGATCACATGACCCCGGGGCATTGAGACCGTCATAAATGTGACCCAGTTGCCAACCAGCTGAATTTTGATCACGTAACCATGGGGATTCTGCCATGGTCTGCCATGTGAAAAATGGTCAAGTCACATTTTTCAGGGGCACTGTAATTTCAAACGGTCACTAAATGAACTATCATAACCTGAGGACTGGCTGGAACAACAGCAACAGACACAAAGGGGAGATGATCAGCAAGATTTTAACAACCACAACAACATAGGTGCCCCTTTGCACAAATTTCTATATTCCTTACTTACAGCAACCCTATTTCTCCCCACTTTCTTCTTAAAGTAGCCAGTGCAAAAAAAAAAAAAAGAGTAATATAATAATTGCCTTTTTAATATTGCTGGAAATTCATAAGGACGCCTCAGATTAGGCGCCGTAATTTTGCATGTAGTTTTCCCCTCTTCTTTTATGCTGAAGTTATATGCATGGTTTGTCCGGGCAAAAAAAATGCTTTTTTCCTCTCACCTAATTTTAAGTGGGCTGAAGAAAATGAAAACATTTTTTTTAAAAATTATTTATTTATTTGATTTGGTTTGTCAATAGCTTACAAGATGATAGGTACAGGTATAAACATGAGTAAGACTACAGGAAATAGGTATGAGTAAATGGGGACAATAGGACAGGGATGGTAGCAGAGGTGGGTGTTGAGCAGGTTCTGATGGTTCTGGAGAACCGGTAGCAGAAATTTTGAGTAGTTCAAAGAACCGGCAAATCCCACCTCTGACTGCCCCCGCCCGCATCTAGTCTCCACCTCCCATTGAGTCCCAGCTGATCAGCTGGGTCTTCTTTGGTTGCCCTGCGCAGGAGAACAGAGATGGAAAGCAGGTTAGTGGGGTGGGGAGGGAATGGGGATTTTGCAGTATCCTTCCCCTACTACACCCACCAAGTCACGTCCACAGAACCAGTAGTAAAGTAATTTGAATACCACCACTGGACGGTAGGCACGCTGGTGCACTTATGCATGCCCCTTACAGACCTCTTAGGAATGGGGTGAGGTCAATAGTGGATAGTTTAAGGTTAAAGGGATGTGGGGGTTTGAGGATGTAACAACAGAGTCAGGTAGGGCATTCCAGACATTGACCACTCGGTTGTAGAAATCGTACTTTCTGCAATCAAGTTTGGAGCAGTTAACATTGAGTTTGTATCTGTTGCGTGCTCTTGTATTGTTGCGGTTGAAGCTGAAGTAGCTGTTGACAGGTGGGACATAGTAGCAGATAATTCTGTGTACTACGCTTAAGACCAACCGTAAGCGGTGTAGTACCTCTTATTGTAGCGGGTGGGCAGGTGAGAAGGTCTGTTATAGGCGAGAAGCCTTGAAAATTCTTCTAATGAATTTTCAGGAAGGGTGAAAATAATTATCTCATCATTTTGAGGAAGGAGCCGTTCACCACAACTTGGGCTTTAGACCTGCGTGGCTGATCCCTTCCAGGCTCATTTTGCAAAAACGTGCTAGAGACTATAGATAATCCTTGACTTACAACCTTTCATTTAGTGACCATTCAACGGCACTGAAAAAAAAGGGACTTCTGTCCATTTATCACACTTAGGACCGTTGTTCAAATCCAGGCACTTGGCAAATGGCATGTACTTATGACTGTTGCATTGTCCCAGGGGTCACATGATCCCGTTTTGCAACCTTCTGACAAGCAAAGTCAATGGGGAAGCCAGATTCACTTAACAATGGTGTTGCTCACTTAACAACTGCAGCAATTCACTTAATAACTGTCTGGAGCAAAGCTCACTTAGCAACTGTTTCACTTGGCAACATAAATTTTGGCTTCAATTTTTGGGCAGAAGTCGAGGACTACTTGTAGTCCAAAATAGAATTGGGAGTTTCTGGATGGATGCTTTGGGAAAACCTGGTTCTTGGGATTTGCTAGATTCCTTAAGCACAGCGAGGTTTGCAAACAGGGAAATTTTTTCTTAATGTGAACAAGACATTAAGACAGCATATAGATTTTAAGCTAGAACTATTTTTGTTAGGCATAATACCAGAAAAATGTGACAAAGAGAATGTATATTTGATATTATATGTTTTATATATATAATTTTTTAATGTGGCTTTAGTGGATTAGATGAACTGGGGATTCATGCAGCCATTTCAGTTAGATTT